GCAATTCTGTGCTTTGTCAAATGCCATAAGGTAGCAATACACAGTTAGGAAAAAAACTTAAAATTGACACTCATAATTTTTAAACACCCTCTTTCCCTTCCTTTCTAACAAATAAGGCTTAATATTTGTGTTATGCAAGTGTGTATTTATAGAAAGAAAATGTTCCATAGATTTGATTTCTAATGTTTATAATGGTGAAATATAATCTCTTTTTGGTGTAACCATGGCAACAATCTGCATTTCTTTGATACAAAATATTGCAAAAAAAGGGGGTGAACATGTCACAAAAGTCTCCAAAATTTGGTCCAAAGGAAAATTTCAATCAATTACAGTGATACCTTTCCTGAACCCATAGACATATATCTATCAAGAGGTCCCAAAAAAATCATATGCATTTCTGCTCGTTTTTCCATAAAATTGAATTGAAAAGATCGAGCGCAAAATCTTTGTTGATAAACACTACAATAATTTATGGACCTATGGGCGGTACGGATAGGAAAATACGGACTGTCAAACAGAAAAATGGCCTATAAAACATGCTAAAAACAATCTAAATGTTCATATAAACCCACTAAGAAGGCTATATTATTCTTCAACTATCTAAAAATCAATTTTATTGTACAAAAACTTTCATATTTAAAAAATTCACCATGGCCATAATGCGAAACTAAACTTCTAACTGTGTATTGCTACCTTAAGGATAAACATTTTTTTTTCCAATTCCATTTTAAATGGATTTCTGTATTCTGCTAGCTTAAACGAGCAAATTGGCCTGCTAGTTTTGAAAATTGGTTCAGAAATAAATATTTTATGAAGGTTAGCAGTTGACACTGAAATGCAACAAAAAAGTGATTTGGTGAAACATGCCATGTCAAAGTGTAAATTCTCCTTTTTTAGTCAAATTTCTAAAACTATACCTTCTGTGCTTGTCTTTTCTTGTTTAAAAACTTAAATTAACCTTAACAGTAGACAAATTTTACAAGTTAAAGCTATTTTAAGGGCTTTAGAATGTCAATTTTGTTGTGTATTAGCATACCAAAGCCTTGGTTAAAATTTAGCAAATACTGAATTAATTTATAACAGCGGGAACAAATTTAGACTTAATTCATGCTAAATTGTGACTTTATACTTGCTAAAATAATAAATTTGATTTAGTCGCATGAAAAAATATAAAGCGTTCCCTTCTGAGGTTTCTACATAACGCGCATTGTTTCTTTTCCAAGGGGTAGCCAATAAAGTATCAAATTATGACCAAACCAAGTCTTTGTGTCAAAATGTCTATATTGGTTGCTAAGGACAATAAACAACAAAACTAACATATATTGTCATACTAAAAGATGTTTCTCCCTCAGAATTGTATCTATAATCTAAATATCAATAGATTTGTGGTATGATTTGTCTAAAAATAAGCAATTCTGTGCTTTGTCAAATGCCATAAGGATAAACATTTTTTTTTCCAATTCCATTTTAAATGGATTTCTGTATTCTGCTAGCTTAAACGAGCAAATTGGCCTGCTAGTTTTGAAAATTGGTTCAGAAATAAATATTTTATGAAGGTTAGCAGTTGACACTGAAATGCAACAAAAAAGTGATTTGGTGAAACATGCCATGTCAAAGTGTAAATTCTCCTTTTTTAGTCAAATTTCTAAAACTATACCTTCTGTGCTTGTCTTTTCTTGTTTAAAAACTTAAATTAACCTTAACAGTAGACAAATTTTACAAGTTAAAGCTATTTTAAGGGCTTTAGAATGTCAATTTTGTTGTGTATTAGCATACCAAAGCCTTGGTTAAAATTTAGCAAATACTGAATTAATTTATAACAGCGGGAACAAATTTAGACTTAATTCATGCTAAATTGTGACTTTATACTTGCTAAAATAATAAATTTGATTTAGTCGCATGAAAAAATATAAAGCGTTCCCTTCTGAGGTTTCTACATAACGCGCATTGTTTCTTTTCCAAGGGGTAGCCAATAAAGTATCAAATTATGACCAAACCAAGTCTTTGTGTCAAAATGTCTATATTGGTTGCTAAGGACAATAAACAACAAAACTAACATATATTGTCATACTAAAAGATGTTTCTCCCTCAGAATTGTATCTATAATCTAAATATCAATAGATTTGTGGTATGATTTGTCTAAAAATAAGCAATTCTGTGCTTTGTCAAATGCCATAAGGTAGCAATACACAGTTAGGAAAAAAACTTAAAATTGACACTCATAATTTTTAAACACCCTCTTTCCCTTCCTTTCTAACAAATAAGGCTTAATATTTGTGTTATGCAAGTGTGTATTTATAGAAAGAAAATGTTCCATAGATTTGATTTCTAATGTTTATAATGGTGAAATATAATCTCTTTTTGGTGTAACCATGGCAACAATCTGCATTTCTTTGATACAAAATATTGCAAAAAAAGGGGGTGAACATGTCACAAAAGTCTCCAAAATTTGGTCCAAAGGAAAATTTCAATCAATTACAGTGATACCTTTCCTGAACCCATAGACATATATCTATCAAGAGGTCCCAAAAAAATCATATGCATTTCTGCTCGTTTTTCCATAAAATTGAATTGAAAAGATCGAGCGCAAAATCTTTGTTGATAAACACTACAATAATTTATGGACCTATGGGCGGTACGGATAGGAAAATACGGACTGTCAAACAGAAAAATGGCCTATAAAACATGCTAAAAACAATCTAAATGTTCATATAAACCCACTAAGAAGGCTATATTATTCTTCAACTATCTAAAAATCAATTTTATTGTACAAAAACTTTCATATTTAAAAAATTCACCATGGCCATAATGCGAAACTAAACTTCTAACTGTGTATTGCTACCTTAAGGATAAACATTTTTTTTTCCAATTCCATTTTAAATGGATTTCTGTATTCTGCTAGCTTAAACGAGCAAATTGGCCTGCTAGTTTTGAAAATTGGTTCAGAAATAAATATTTTATGAAGGTTAGCAGTTGACACTGAAATGCAACAAAAAAGTGATTTGGTGAAACATGCCATGTCAAAGTGTAAATTCTCCTTTTTTAGTCAAATTTCTAAAACTATACCTTCTGTGCTTGTCTTTTCTTGTTTAAAAACTTAAATTAACCTTAACAGTAGACAAATTTTACAAGTTAAAGCTATTTTAAGGGCTTTAGAATGTCAATTTTGTTGTGTATTAGCATACCAAAGCCTTGGTTAAAATTTAGCAAATACTGAATTAATTTATAACAGCGGGAACAAATTTAGACTTAATTCATGCTAAATTGTGACTTTATACTTGCTAAAATAATAAATTTGATTTAGTCGCATGAAAAAATATAAAGCGTTCCCTTCTGAGGTTTCTACATAACGCGCATTGTTTCTTTTCCAAGGGGTAGCCAATAAAGTATCAAATTATGACCAAACCAAGTCTTTGTGTCAAAATGTCTATATTGGTTGCTAAGGACAATAAACAACAAAACTAACATATATTGTCATACTAAAAGATGTTTCTCCCTCAGAATTGTATCTATAATCTAAATATCAATAGATTTGTGGTATGATTTGTCTAAAAATAAGCAATTCTGTGCTTTGTCAAATGCCATAAGGATAAACATTTTTTTTTCCAATTCCATTTTAAATGGATTTCTGTATTCTGCTAGCTTAAACGAGCAAATTGGCCTGCTAGTTTTGAAAATTGGTTCAGAAATAAATATTTTATGAAGGTTAGCAGTTGACACTGAAATGCAACAAAAAAGTGATTTGGTGAAACATGCCATGTCAAAGTGTAAATTCTCCTTTTTTAGTCAAATTTCTAAAACTATACCTTCTGTGCTTGTCTTTTCTTGTTTAAAAACTTAAATTAACCTTAACAGTAGACAAATTTTACAAGTTAAAGCTATTTTAAGGGCTTTAGAATGTCAATTTTGTTGTGTATTAGCATACCAAAGCCTTGGTTAAAATTTAGCAAATACTGAATTAATTTATAACAGCGGGAACAAATTTAGACTTAATTCATGCTAAATTGTGACTTTATACTTGCTAAAATAATAAATTTGATTTAGTCGCATGAAAAAATATAAAGCGTTCCCTTCTGAGGTTTCTACATAACGCGCATTGTTTCTTTTCCAAGGGGTAGCCAATAAAGTATCAAATTATGACCAAACCAAGTCTTTGTGTCAAAATGTCTATATTGGTTGCTAAGGACAATAAACAACAAAACTAACATATATTGTCATACTAAAAGATGTTTCTCCCTCAGAATTGTATCTATAATCTAAATATCAATAGATTTGTGGTATGATTTGTCTAAAAATAAGCAATTCTGTGCTTTGTCAAATGCCATAAGGTAGCAATACACAGTTAGGAAAAAAACTTAAAATTGACACTCATAATTTTTAAACACCCTCTTTCCCTTCCTTTCTAACAAATAAGGCTTAATATTTGTGTTATGCAAGTGTGTATTTATAGAAAGAAAATGTTCCATAGATTTGATTTCTAATGTTTATAATGGTGAAATATAATCTCTTTTTGGTGTAACCATGGCAACAATCTGCATTTCTTTGATACAAAATATTGCAAAAAAAGGGGGTGAACATGTCACAAAAGTCTCCAAAATTTGGTCCAAAGGAAAATTTCAATCAATTACAGTGATACCTTTCCTGAACCCATAGACATATATCTATCAAGAGGTCCCAAAAAAATCATATGCATTTCTGCTCGTTTTTCCATAAAATTGAATTGAAAAGATCGAGCGCAAAATCTTTGTTGATAAACACTACAATAATTTATGGACCTATGGGCGGTACGGATAGGAAAATACGGACTGTCAAACAGAAAAATGGCCTATAAAACATGCTAAAAACAATCTAAATGTTCATATAAACCCACTAAGAAGGCTATATTATTCTTCAACTATCTAAAAATCAATTTTATTGTACAAAAACTTTCATATTTAAAAAATTCACCATGGCCATAATGCGAAACTAAACTTCTAACTGTGTATTGCTACCTTAAAGTAGTCAGTAGTAAGATCAAAAACCTGCGGGTCAGAGTTCGTGTTGCTTCTTGTCAACTCACATGTCAGAATGCCGTTGCTGTAAAATGCCAAGGTATCTGTTAAACCATCCGTTGACTGAAATAAGACAGACGCAAAGCTATTGTTGAAGAAAGTCTTTTTAGAAATATCAGTATCACTTTATTTAAATTTCACTATTCAATGAACAAATGACAGCATGGATTGTCTTCATAATGGTGAATAATATATGTTCCCATGTTTCTTTGATAACCTCCCCTACCAAAATTAGCATATAATTTTATCGTGTGACACAAGGCAGTTAATATTCGTAAATCATATGTATTTGCTTGGACTCGCGTACTCTGTGGTTTTAGCAGTATCCTCTTGTTTTGCCATTTTCAGACGGCATCTTATGAGTGATAGAAATTCATAGATGTAAGACGCACACAAAATAATGAATTTCATTCTCTATATTGTAATTTGGAAATGCTATCATGGATTTCAAACATTTGGTTTCGAGCACAACTGTGCAATTGTTTTGCTATTGTTCTATTTTTATAAGTTCAGATTTCGAATTTTGGTTTGAAATACCGTTGACAAGAAATAACAATCTGATTAAAATACAGATTATGTATCCACTCTGACAACTCTGTATTCTACTTTCTGTTTTAAGAGACCTTTCTGTACCCACAGGTACACACCTTCAAAAATGTGTAGGCATGTATTTCATTGGTTGATGTAATGGTTACGAGAACAGAAAGTAGAACGGAGAGTTATCAGATCCGTATTTTAATCAGATTCAGATACAAGAAATAATGTAGTTGAACAAATCAAAATTGGTATCTTTTTACCACTACTACCATAAGATAAATGCCACTGTTGATTAACAGCGCGCTGCCGACGTATTCAAAAGGCTGGTACCAAGACATTTGTATTTACTTTGAAATTGAAACTTCAAATATACATTACTAAGAGCACAACTGACGAACAAAATAGTAAGTTCGAAATGCGTATATTGCGAAATTGTTATTTATAATGATTTACCAATATTGAATATTATTTGATAAATGATAATTGAGTGAATGCTGTTTGAATAATATGTGACTGAGAATATATTCTGTTTGACGTTAAAAAGTCTGTTCCAGGAATCTAAATTTACCAGGGTTTTTTTTGTTGAAAAATATGATTCATGTATTTCGAGCAAATCGGATCACGGTCTTGTATCTTCCCCTATCTTGTCGATGGTCGTCCCTTATTTATTTTATTAATTCTTGATTTAATAACATAAATATTTTCGTGACTTTCTTCTAAGATCACATTTTCATTGTATACACATTGTCACAATATTTTCATTAGTAATCACTTTGATGGTTGTTTAAGGTGCTGTCTTCATTACCTATAACTTTTCATTTGGGAAATTTCAGAATTCATAATGATAGAATAATTCAGTTTAGTAACTTACATTTGTTAAAACAGAGTTTCCCCTTCCAGTTGCGCTGTTATAAGAATTCTCTGGAGCAAACGCTGTACCGCTACTTGTCATAAGGCATGATGTCACACTGGAATCTTGCTAAACCAATAACATTAACATTTAATATAACACACACTTTGGAGAACAACTTACTTGCCAAAAGTTAACAAAGATATGTGAAATGAAAATTACTGCAGAAAACGATAACACAAAAGTAAACAAATTTGATCATATGCAAACACAATAATCAAATCAAATGCAAGAGTTTTGTTTTGTTTTATTATGTTGGCCTCATTGTGACTTTGAGACGAAGAACAACAATAAAAGCGCTGTTCCTTTTCTTTTGTTTTTCTTTCCATGCCCGCTTAGCATTTTGTGTTTGATTGATACACCATATCATCTATTTTCCAGTAATAAACAATAAATATAATGTCTCAGAAAGTAAGATACCATATAACCAGTATTTTAGTGGGAACCTTACTAGTTAGGATACCATATAACCAGTATTTTAGTGGGAACCTTACTAGTAATCACTGCTTTAATTGAGAAGTATTACAGGTGTGAAGCCTCGCTGGTTAGTTTCACACTTCTAGAACTATTAAGTAATAACACAGCCCGTATGCATAAAGTTACTTAAGTTACGATTTTTCTAATGCCTGCGTCACACGGTCTCGAAATTGACACCAGGTGTACACACGGTAAAGGAAATGTTCAAATTCGGGTCTGGTCGTAAAAAGCCCGGGCCATTCTTCGTGTGATCATCGTGCCAGTGGGCATGTTTTTGCCTCACGAAGACAATACGAAAATAGCAAGCTGCTCGATTGTTTTAAGAAGGCCACTTGACTACATGAAGCCCTCGTAATGCCGTCGTGTAGCCAACTTATTATAGTACAATGAAATCGAGATGGGACTTCGGTGTTGGCTAACACAGCTGAATTTGAGAAACTGAAACGTTTCACATGTGTCATGGTAACGTGGTCATATAAAAGGCCAGGCTTAGAGCATCTTCCTGAGATAGTCCTGAGCAACTCTACAGAACAGAGGCTCGTGTAACTCCCAAAACTTCAATCACAATTAATCACAATTCAGTTCCTGTAGAATGGCATACTTTGATGATGAGACAATCAGTAATATAAGACAACTGCATTGCTTCTTTTGGTGCATCTCAGAGAAGTGATGAGCAACTGTCGCAAGCCCAGCAATTTCTCTTACAGGTAAAAATGGTCTTATTTCACTTTGTCATATCTTGCTATTTGCCTTTCTAATACTCGACAATGTCCTTATCTTGTTTTGCTTTTTTCCAGTGCAGGGACAAAATGAGGCGAAGGAGGACACCGAAGACTACATGGGTAAAAAATGGCTGTCTGACAAAAGAAGAGAACGATATGGCCACTATAGCACTCTTCTAAAGGAACTGAAGACATACGATGAGAAGACATTCTACAACTACACAAGACATCCCATAGGTCTCTACGATGCGTTTCTGCGAAGGGTATAAGGCAGAATAGAGAAGAAGGACACATGGTACAGAAAGTCTCCCATCCTCGTCTCAAGCTGTCTATCCCTTTACGACACCTGGCCTGCGATGACAATTATCAAAGCCTGTCTTTCAACTTCAGAGTTGCTCCAAACACAATCTCCTTATCATCAATGATGTCTGCGATGCCTTCAAAGCCGAGTTTTCTGTTGAGGTGATCCAGTTCCGACTACAACTGAAAAGTGGACCGCCACGTGGGCAGTTTGAGAAGAGATGAAAATTTCCATTCTGGTGTGGTGCGCTGGATGGCGAGTATGTGGCAGTCACCTGTCCTTGGATTAATGGCTCTATGTACAGAAACTACAAAATGTACAAGAACTCTCAATTGTTCTCATGGCCCTGGTCGACTACAAGTTTCTCTGAAATTGATATTGGCTTTGATGGTTCCAGTAACGATGCCAGTATATACAATGGGTCAGCACTGAAAGAAGATATGGAAAGTCCGAACAACATATTCAATCTCCCCGAAGAGAAGTCTCTACATGGTGATGACGTTCCTGTCCCATACTACATGAATTGGGAAAATGCTTTTGGGATCAACAAGCGCCTGATGAACCCGTTTTCCATCAGAAAATGGAGCACCACGAGAGACTTTTTTACTACAGACTCTCCTTATCCAGGAGTATAGTGGAGAATGCCTTTAGTATTCTGGCACACAAGTTCCGAGTTTTGCTGAGGGCCATGATCAGAGGCCAGAGTCATGCAGACAAATCACCACAACCTGTGTGATCCTTCACAATCTCATCAGACTGAGGCAACCAGCCACCCACAACAACCTGATGGACTTGGAAGACCAGAATCAGAATATCATCCAAAGGGCATGGAGAAATGACAAAGTACTTCTGGATGTTTACCATGAGAGGGCAAGGAACACTAGAACCCAGAAGGTACCTGAGTCACTACTTTATCTCAAAGGCTTGTTCGGTGCCATGGCAGGAAAGGATGATCCAATAATTATTCCCACAAAGCAGTGACAGTAAAATCAATACAAAGACACTTACATTGTGATGATGAACAAATTATTTTCACATATTACATTGTAAATTAAAGCGAAATGTGTATGGTGTAGTATAGTTTGTTTAAATAACTTGTAAAGTAAGGATAAAGGAACTACGGTCGGCCGAATGTTTTATACCATCGGGAGGTCTTGTGACGCCTTCGCGACCAAGTTCGAACTCATCGTACTCTCAATACGACATTGTACATCCATCGTGTGGCCTTCGTGTGTCCTACGGGTAAACATTGTAATGAAAATTCACATCTTCGTGTTGCCTTCGTGTGTGGTTCGGGTACCATCGTCAAACCTTATGTAGGCATCGTACTTGCATGGGCTGATGATTGGCTGTTTAACAAGTTTGGGACAATCTTCGCGCGAAATTCAAAATTCCATATTCGTATATGGTCATCTTGTGTCAATTTCGGGACAGTGTGACGCCTGAATTAGTAAACAATAAAGTTAAAGAAACTTCTCCATTTCTACCTAAGTGGTATGCATAAAACATGTTAAACTTAGTATTTCCTTAGTAAAATTTTAGTTGGCTTAAGTCACGCCCACAAGACTTAAGTGGTATGCGTAAAAAACCCCAAACTAAGACAACGCCTCAGATTATCCTTAAGTATAATAATAATAATAATAATAATAATAATATCTTTATTTAGAGAGAGTAACTCATTTGGATTATACCAATTTTCAATAAGGCTCTCTTAATACAATAATAATTACATTAAAAATAAACAATACATATTCAATAATAATGATAAATAAAGATGTAATACAATTTAAATACAATAAACAATTATTATATATGGCATTACAGTACAAATATCATGGTAATGTTAAAAGTACATAGATTTGTAGTTATGTTTAAATTCTAATACTGTGTTTGATTTTTTAATTGAATTAGGAAGAGCATTCCATACTTTTGGTCCATTGTACGAGAAACTAGACTTATACAACTCTGTATTTGGTTTTGGAATTATAAAATTATCTGAGGACGAAAATCTCGTATTGTATTTTTGGTTTGCAGAAGCTGATAAAATAAGACTGGACATATATTCTGGAGCTAACAATGTTTTGCCTTATACATTAGTAATGGTTTATGATAATGTATTCTTTGTGATATCGGCACAATGTTACATTCGTGAAATAATTCGCTTGAAGGTTTGGTGTAATCATGTTCGTCTAAAATTATTCTTGCTGCCCTCTTTTGCAGTTTTAGTAAACTATCTATAAAAGTATAAGGTACTTATGGAGGTACCTTTAAATTAAAAAAGAAACGTCCTGCGGTTTCCCACAAAAAGGAAGTATTAGCTTCCATATGCTCAGTTATAACAAACCTTTCTAAAATTATCCGTTTATGAATTTTGAAATTATAAATCCAGAAAAGCGCTTCGGACGCATAAAATTATTTAACGTGTTGTTTTCATATTTTAATAATAATTTCAGTAATATTTGTTTGTTTATACTAGCTTTAGGTGTAATACCACCAAATCATAGTACGTCAGATCCGGTTTCATACGCATAAAAAGGATCGAAAAAATATTCTCTTAAATTTGATAGTTGCAGGAAATTAGCCCTGCATTTCATTGCAGAAACAAAATTTCTGATTCATAAGCATATATCTTGCGAGTTTCAGAGTACCATTCTTTATTAATTTGGTGTTTATTCAAAATATTTTGGAAACTTGAGGTGACATGGTTACTAACTTTTAACAGGAAAAAAGGATTAAAAAGTTGACTGGTTTATCAGGTGATGGTTATTATCTTATATGCAATGAAATGTAATGAGAAATTTTCACTGTAGTACTGGACAGGATAAAACTTTACTCGTACCAAATATTTCTTTATTTGAAACAAAGACTAATACTTTTTCCCCTATAATAGGGGAAAACAATGGTGGCATTACTCCTAAATGGGAAGCTGGACATGCACCTATGACCTTATATGTACTCTTTTTTTTATAATTTAATGCTATTTCACTGAAATATTGCAAACATGAAATAATCTGAGTGGATTGAGTCTCAAAAACACATTTTAGGAAAAATTGCCTTGAAATAGAGCTCTACCATCAATATTGGTAGGCAGAACAAGCCATAATCAGTGTATTGGGGAGCTTTTTCTGACTTTTTCTCCATATTTCCTTTATTGGGCTATAAAAGAAGACTTTTTCCAAAGTAATTATTTATTAAGAAATATACAGTAATAAGTAAATGAAATGTTTTTGAGGCAGTAAAAACAAATTATTTACTAAAAGTGACGGCGATAGTTGGATAGCTAGATATATATAAAGTCATAACACCAACGTAATCAAAGAAAACAAACACGGCACCCGATCACGGTGTACGTTTTGACAAGACCTATCATAGAAGATTAGTTTTGTCCGATTCTTAATGAAATTATTTTATGACTTTATTTTGAATTAATAAAAGATAACATCGAATGGATGTTAACTGAGGTGAAATGAATATATTTTTCAAATTTCTAAATCCTTCATCACACGAGTAACCAGTAAATTACACATAATCCTAATTAAACCAGTAACATGCAGAGTTACATAACGTAA